CCCAGGATAAATTTTCACATTCTGCACTATCACACGAAAGAGAGAAATGAGAGAAAGGGAGACAAATATATCCAAGTTAACAGGGCTGCTTAGGGTAGTCACCTAAAATGAAGTTCAAGTCAACAATTTGCCTGAAGTAGAATCAGAAATATCATCTAGATGACTGTTCTTATTACCAGGCAATTTTAGGGTCTTTTTCTTTCTCCTTCCCTTCAGACATTTTTCTTTTTTCTCATCATATTTTTATCCTGAGTCAAGAAAGCTCTCCTACTGAAACTGGGAAGTATAGTCCCGTCATCAGTTTTGACTGGGTCAAGAAAATCCCGAGCCAGCTAGCTCCCCATACTAAATAGTTTACTCATTTTTCCTAATAACACAACCTGTGGCGTGTCTGAAGTAAAATGCCCATTTCCAAAGACTCTTATTCTTTACTTCATCCCTGGTATCAGACGTGCTTGGTAAGAAAGACAACAGTGACTCAGTCGTAGTTTTGTATCCAGGCTTACCATGCATGGGCGAGAATGGCGCGCGCATACTGTTGGTCCCTTTCTATCCTTTGTATACTATAAACAGGATGCAAGACACAGCTGGAGCATGTGGCAGCAACTGTAGCATCATCAGCAGAAATTCCTCAAAAATAGAAGAAATTCCCCTGGGGAGTCTCTTGTCATTTTAGGGCCAATCTGTGCTGTGGTAGAGAGGTAAGTTCTAAGTCTTTCAAAGCTGATTCTATTGCTGACTATAGGTGACATGAAAAATTTTCAATCCAATGTTTACTTTAGTGATCAGAGGATCAGATAATGTGAAAATAAAATACTATCTTTGGTTAAGGATTCACCCTGATATTTGTCTGGATATTGCAGTTGAGGAGAATCTGATTGTGTATAACCAACTGCTTAGTGCTGTTTCTGGCTTGCCTGAAACACATTTCCTTTCCTTGTCACAACTACCAGGTGCTACTGCTGAGCAAATAGTAACATCACTGCCAGAAGTATTTGAAAAGAACAAAAAAATTGATTTGGACAATCTGTGTGCTGTTGCCATTGATGGAGACACAACTGTGAGTAGGGTTAGGGCCGAGGTCATAACAAGGTTAAAAGAAAAGTGCCCAGGAATTCTCTCCTGTCACATTTCACACTGAATTGCTCTGGTTTTCAGCAGATGCTACAGACAATGCACTGTGCTGCATTAAATATGGGAATCATTTAGCTACATTTACAAGCTACAGTGAAAATTCACTCCAGAATTACTGTACTTGAAAGGTTACATGGAAAGGGCTAGGATATTGCATCACGCAGGCACTAGGTGCTGTATCTACACATGTAAAATACAAAGAAAGGTACAAACGCAGGAATGAACAGGGCCCTGGCTGTTTACAAGTGAGGGTGACATTGCTGTCCTTATTCAAGAGCATAATGCACCTCATCTGAAGTCAGTGAAGACTCTAGCTATCAGGTGAAAATCCTGGTGGCATGGTAAAGGTCATTGTTCAGATAAACATATTCTCTAAAACACTGTTTTTTGTTTCTTTTTAAAATCTCCTGCATGGCCCAGTACAAGCAAGAGACTTGTAGTTAAACACAAGATGGACTGGTAGGTTATTCTACCTAGTCCTTTTCTACACCTGTGCCTGTTCTCTCCTACTTGCTTGAGAGCGTGTAACCACCTTGAAAACCCAACAGAGCAGCATGCAAGCATTTACACGATCAAAGGCAAAATGTGCTTAAGACAGACTTTGGAAATCCAGCACAATTTGGCAAACTTCAAAGATAGTTGCCTTTCAAATGGGTTGTGGAGGAGGCCTTGGTAAATTTGAATGGTATGATTAGCATACCGGCTGGTTTTAAAACTGCTCAAGAAGAAGCTGTGTTAAAATCCATTTCCGCAAGACACACGCATTTTCTTTTGGACAGGCTCCACTAGCTCTGTTTCTTAAATCAATTTTTCTGGCACAGATTTCTTCTTGGAAGAATGTACGACACCAGCTCAGTTTCCTAACCAAAACTTGACAGAATGTGTGCAGCACAGCATAATGGCATCTCTACTTCATGGCTTCCTAAAAGTTACAGTACAGAAACCTAGGAAGTGAATTTGACTGTTCCAGGTCACATCTGTTGAAAGGCGAGTGAAACAACAGAAGATGCCAGGGTAGTCTGCCCAGCACAATGTTCAAACACTGGTGAGGACCACTGATAAAAGGTTTGCCAAAATGGGAGTTGCCAAGGTCTTAGAGGAGTTTCAGGGATGTGTTCAAGTCTTACTAGATTTAAAGGATGATCCTTGGCAAACTCCCCCTGATGCTTCTCAGCATTTCTAGAGCCAACAGTTGTTCCATCTGCTGCTGAGGCCGACTTTGAAGAATCCTTGCAAAGAGCAGCACACTAACTTTAACACTACACAAGACGGAAAAAACCACAGCTTTTCAGAAGTGACCTAGATGTTTGCCAGTAGCTTGACACACTCTCAGGTAAGGCTGTCTCCTTGTCTCCAAACACTTGAGTGCATTACCAAAGCTGCGCCAGTGTAAACTGTGGGCTGAAAAGAAAGATTCAGCAAACAGCATCGATTGAAAGCTTGTCTAAGGCATTAACTGTTCATCTGTGGAGGTCTGACGCACAGTGACAGCAAAAAAGACCACCACGAACTAACTTCAAGAACCAAGTTGCTGCTGGGGATACAAAAAAAATATTAAAAAATGTCTGTGAAACTCAGACAGATACTCCCTGACAACAGCTAAAAAAAAATAAAATTTAAAAAAAAAAAATCAGCAAACACAATAAACTTTTGGAGCTGTTGAATACAAACAAGCTTTGAAAAAGCAATGGAAGGTCCACACAGACACAAATGAAGGTGTTTAGTTTTAACACATAAGCTTCAGTTTCTGCCACTGTGACAGATTTGCCAGCGCGTTTTCTGAGCCAGGCCACCTCACTATTGTATAAGCTTTATTCTAATTACTGTAGGCTCTATAAAGGTTTCTTTATCATTTAGTATTATAAATAATTGTGCTTCCAGGCTGGAGTTCAAAGCTCAGTATAGCATTCGCACAACACCACAGGCAGGTCAGGTGACCTTTCTCCAATTCTCCTCTCTCTGGTGCTGAGGACAGACAAAGTGATATGTCTGTCATACGCCATTACCATTAGAACAGAATCTTGTTC